CTGGGGGCAGGGGAGTTAGGGAGGTGGGGTGGGGTGGAGTGTGGGGTGGGGGAGGAGAGGTAGTAAACAGAGGTGAGGGGGGGAAGTTGTCCTTCCATAGTGACCACTCACTCGTTTGAACATGGGCTCTGTGAACCCTCGAGCAACAGACCCTTCTCTTGGGGACCACTCAAAGGGCAGGCTCCTTGATGAGAGTGGTGACAGAGGACACTGGAACTGGGTTGTGGAGGTGGCCTTTTCTCTCTCCCTCCCTTTCCCCTCTTCCCTTTCTTCCTCCCTCCTCCCTCCCTCCCTCTGTTCTTTCCTTCCTTTCCTCCTCATAATTATATTGAACACCTACAGATAACAGCAGCTTTGCCCGCTGACACTTAAGACATACCCAGCTCTGTTCTAAGTTCTTTATGCTGATTAGCTCATCTAATCCTCACCACAATGTCAGTACTGTTATTGTTTCCACACTCCAGATGGGGAAATAGAAGGACCTGCGGGTCTGCTGGTTTCAAAAGGCCACATAGCTCACGTGCATTTGAGCCGAGGCCACCCGGGTCTGTAGCCAACACCCCACTGCCTCCCTCCACTCACGGCTTTCTGTGTAGCCGGCACATAGGGACTGATTAGATGCCTTTCTACCCGGGTGGGGCTCTTTTCTAGTGGAGGAGAGGGACCATAAACACACAGACTGATTGACCACCCACTCTGGTGAGTGCTCAAGAGAAGCAGCTTGGGGCAAAACAGGATGTTGGGGAAGGGTCCTGATTTGTCGAAGGAGAGGAGAGGTGCTGGGGAAGGATCAGTGGGTCGGTAGAGCTTAAGCAGGCAAAGAAGGGTGAGAAAGCTTTCCAGGTAGAGGAAACAGTGCGGGCAAACACTGGGATGTAGTGGCCCCTTTGAGGACAAGATCATAGTGGCTGGAGGGTGACGGGAGACACTGCCGGAGAGTTGGGCCTCCTGGGCTGGGGGCATGCTGGTCTGGGGCCAGCAGTAGCTAAGGACCCCCTGGGAACAAAGGCCGGCTCCACGATGGCCAGCCCAACTCCAACTTCCCTTCCGGTGGGGCAGCAGGGTGCCCAGGTTAGAGGGGCCAAACCAGGCCTGGCAGAAGCCTCCCCTGCCAGCGGCAGGGTCACAGATAGAGGTGCTGGAGCGGCCCCCTCCAACTGCAGGGCAGGAGCTCTTGGGACAGAATCCGCACCTGGATTGTGGCCTATTGCTCAGCCCTTGCCCACTTTGGTTAGCAAAAAGGACTGGGATTCCTGTCGTCATTCAAGAGAGCTGGTGCTGATCCCTAGGAGGTATGGGCCCACAGCTGGGTCCCTCATGACCAGGATGGTAGTGGATTCTGGAGGCTGGCCATCCTGGGTCAGAGCTGTGTTATCTCCAGCAAGGAATGCAGTCCCCTGAGCCTTGTACTGGGGTCCACAGCCCCTCGTAGACTTGCCTCTGAGGGTCGGTGTGAGGGGCAGCTGGTGACCATCTATCGAAGTGGCCGTCAGGATGCCTGCAGCTGAACTAACAGAAACCTCAACCCAACTGCAAGGAAAATGTGTTGCCTCACACGTAAGAAGTCCAGGGAGAGGACAGCTCGGGCGGACACGAAGCTCGGTCATGGCATCGAGCGTCAGGTTTTCTCCATCCCTCTGCTCAGTGAGTCACAAGAGGCCACCAGCTCCACGTCCCATCCTGGCATAACCACATCTCCTCGAGTAAGCGCTGCTTGGATCTCTCCAGGGGTGAGCCGATCAGCAAGGATCTTCCCAGAGGCCTCCCTCTGGATCTCCTACCCAGCCCCAAGCTGGTCCCCGGCAGGGGAACTGGATCACCAGGATGACTGGGACCAATTAGACCTACTCCTGAGTCAAATGGTGGTGCAGGAAAGAAGCGGGGGAGGTGGCTGCTGGTTGGGCAGCAGGTGTCGACTGCCCTGAGCTTTCAAAATGGGCATCCAAACCCAGGAAAGCTCTCATGGTCCTCACTCACCTGAATGCTGGTATGGACAGGGGATAAACAATGGGAAGAAAGAATAAAAGCAATAACTACATCACTTAGCTCATGCTGGGTACAGTGCCAAGGTACTTTCTATGCCTAGTTTTTTGTGCTTTTTTTTTTGAGTTGGGGTCTCACTCATGTAGTGGCAAATCGCGACAATCATGGCAGCCTCAACCTCCTGGGCTCAGGCAATCTTTCCACCTCAGCCACTCAAGTAACTGGGGTAACAGGCGTGTGCAATCACACCCAGCTAGTTTTTTAAATTTTTTTGTAGAGACAAGGTTTCACTATGTTGCCCAGGCTGGTCTTGAACTCCTGGGCTCAAGCAATCCACCCGCCTCAGCCTCCCAAAGTGCTGGAATTACAGGTGAGCCACCGTGCCTGGCTATGTCTTGTTTCTTTCTCACCACGACCCCATGAGCCTCCGTGCCTGGCTGTGCCTTGTTTATTTCTCACCACCACCCCACGGGGTGACTGTCCTAGCCCACAGGTGAGTAAGCTCAGGCCCTGAGGGAATCGGTGCCAGTGAGCAAGAGGCAGGGTTGAGGTGAAATCCCGAAGCTGTCCTCTCCAGGAGAGCCCACAGCTCAGGAAACGCAACTTGCAAGAAAGACACTGGAGGTGAGCGAAGGGGCCAGGAACTCCAGGTCTTACTTTGTCTTTTCCTTTTCCTTGAGAACTTAGGTTGATCAAATGCAGGATTTCTCCACCTTGGGACTATCGGTGTCTTGGGCTGGATAACTCTCTGACGTTGGGGCTGTCCTGTGCATTGGAGGATGTTGAACAGCATCTCTGGCTTCTACCTACTAGACACAGTAGCATTTTCCTCACTGTCCCCACCTATGGTGACGCCAAAAATATCTCCAGACAGTGCCCAATGTCCCTTGGGGGGCAAAATTGTCCCCTGCTGAGAATGACTGATCTATTGCATTGGTTGTCAACGTATGGTTCCAGAGAAGTAGCATTGGGGGAACTCATTAGGAATGCAAACTAATTTTCAGGCCTCATCCTAGACTTTCTGAGCCAGAAAATATGGCTGCAGGACCCAGCAAGCTGTGTTTTAGCAAGACCTCTACAGGATTCTGACACAGGTTACTGTTTGAGGAGGACTGACCTGTTTGAGGAGGTGCTCAGCTCTGGCTGCACATTAGAATTACCTGGAGAGTTTTACAAGCTCCCATACCTGGATCCTGCCCAGAACCAAGCAAGTCACAATCTCTAGGGACTGGGCCCAGACATCAGTATTTTTCAGAGCCCTCCAGGTGATTCTAATAGGAGTCCAGGCTGTGAGTCACTGATCTAATGGAAATGCATTAGCTTGGTTTAAATTGCAAGAAAGTGATGCTACGGCCCATTGTACGAGTCAATTAGGACATCATGCCCCTCAGTAATTACAACTGGAAGAGGATGTTGGGGAATATTCTGACTGCCCATAATCAATAATGGTGTTTGAAAGTCCCTCTGGTGATACTGCTTTCTGCCCTGCATCTCTGGGTCACCTGAAATGCACCTGGCCTTGATACTAGGAACAGAATACCTGACAGGTGCGAGGCCAGTCAATCCCCAGTCATTCCCAACTGGGCCAGTCCCTTGCATTAGAAAGGAAAGTGCACGGGCTATTACTCAAAGGCTAAGTGCAGGAAACATATTGTATCAGAGTATAGGAATGCATTATAAAAAGTGATATGATTTTCCATTATGCATTTCAGCATTCAATAATTAGGGTAGTTAATATACTCACTTTGTAGGGATTGTGTGCTTTCTGAGAATTGCTTCCGTGATACATTTTCTGGAATGTAACATATTACATATTTTGGATTGCAAACATCTTGAAGCATCCACAAAGGCTCTTTGTTTGGAACCCACTAAACCCACCTTTGCCAAGCAGTGGATTCAGGTAGATTCACAGTGCCTGCTCTGTGCTCAAATGTCCACCTCCTTTCTGACACCCCAAATCCAAATAATCCTTCTATCCTGCTGAAATTTCTGCCAAAATTGATGTCTAGCCAGTCCCTACACTTCTCTCAGTTCCTACCTCAGCCAAAGGCCCCACAATTTCTAGTATTCCTGTGTCCATCTGGAACATCTTACTCTCTGTGATGCAGCCAGGCTGCTTTTTTTTCCCCCCTTCTCTTCACTTCTCCTCCTTCCCTTTTATTTATTTATTTATTTTTTGAGTGGAAGTCTCACTTTGTCAACCAGGCTGAAGAGCAGTGGCATGCTCACAGCTGCCACAGCCTCTACCTGCTGGGATCAGGCAATCCTTCCACTTCAGCCTTCCTAGTAGCTGAAACTACAGGCATGTACCACCACGCCTGGTTGACTTTTTTGATCTATTGTAGAGACGATTTCTTATCAGGTTGCCCAGGCTGGTGTCAAACCCCTGGGCTCAGGCAGTCCTCTCACCTCTGCCTCCCTAAGTGCTGGGATTACAGGCGTGAGCAACCATGCTTGGCTCCTTTCTTTTTTGAGACAGAGCCTTACTCTGTCACCTAGGCTGGAGTGCAATGGCACGATCATTGCTCACTGCAGCCTTGTTCTCCTGGGCTCAAATGATCTTTCCGCCTCGGTCTCCAGAGTAGCTGGGACTACAGGCGCATGCCACCACACCTGGCTGATTTTTAAAAATATTGTTTTTGGTAGAGACTGGGTCTCACTATGTTGTTCAGGCTGGTCTCAAAGTCCCTGGCCTCGAGCAATTCCCCTGGCTTGGCCTCCCAAAGTTCTGGGATTACAGGCATGAACCCACACCTGGCCTCTGGGTGATCTTTATAAGAAACAAACCTGATTTTATTGGTTTCCGGTGGCTCCTGTAACAAATTTTCACAGACTTGTCGCTTAAAGCAATAGAAATGTATTCTGGTGTTCTGGAGGTCAGAAACTCGAAATCAGTTTCGCCAAGGGGTTGGCAGAGCCATGCATGCTCCCTCTGGAGGCTCTGGGGGAGGATCCTTCCTTTCCTCTTCCAGCTCCTGGTGGCTGCCAGCATCCCTTGACTCATGGAGGCCTCACTCCAATCTCTGCCTCTGAGGTCATCTTGCCTTTGCCTCTTCTCCGTGTAAAGTCTCACTCTCTTACAAAGGCCACTTATGTTGGCATGTAGGGCTCACACAGATAATCTGGGATAATCTCCTCATCTAGAAATCCTTAATCACATATGCAAAGACCTCCCCCATCCAAATAAGGCGACATTTACAAATTCCAGGAATAAGGACTTGGGTATTTTTGTCTGGGAGACTGCCATTTTTGCGGCCTGCCACACTGATCAAGGCACTCTGCCATCTGTCATGTGACCCTTTAGGCCCTATCCACCTCCCCAGCCTCACCTTGTTCCTCTTCCCCAACTCCCTGTATCTGGCCATACTGGCCTTCTCTTGACTCCTTAAGCCCGAGTGGCAGCTACACTCTGGGTGTCACCTTGGCGAAAAATTAGGAAACTGCATCCCCTCCAGGCTGACACAGCTCTGTGCTCTCAGCACTGAGCTCAATAGTGCACGGAGGCTGAATTTCCGCTCCCAGTCCCTTTGATATATGTGCAGAACACCATAGGAACGGCCCTTTCTTGAACCTGCTGCAGGTCTTTGCACATGATGCTTCCTCTCTCTTCACCTGTCTGATTCGTGTTTCCCCACTCGATCTCAGCTCAAATGTCACCTCATGAGGAAACATTTCCTGAGTCCAAATCCAGGATGTGCGCCTTTGGTCTAATCATTCATAAAACAATCTACTCTCTTATTTCCCGTGACTGATGGCCATTTGTAATTACATACTCACTAGTGTGGCTTTTTAAAGTTAATATCTGCCTCCCCCACTAAACCAGAGGTGCCATGAGGTTGGATCCCTTATCTACTTTGCTCACCACTGTGTCCCCAGCACATGCAGTCAACACTCAATGAATATTCGCTGATTGAGTGAATGATTGTACAGAGTTTACCAGCCCTACCATCGAATGGTGCCTAGGGGAACCAGACAGAGTGGTGTAGCGTGCTCTGGAACAGATGCAGACCGATGAGACCCTTCAAGGGCCACAGGTCCCTCACCCACCCTGGAAGCCCCTGTTTCTGGAGAGCAGAGCCTGAGGTCAGAGTTTGCCACAGGGAGCTGCAGTGGTGGAGGAGGCTGGGGCTCAGCCGGTCTAGGAGTAGCCTTCAAATTAATTTACATAATTGGGCTGGAGTTTTCTGTATTAATCATCATTCATGACATCAAAAATTAAAGAGGCCTCAAATACAAAGACTTTTTTCTCTGCTTGTTGAAGCCACTGAGGATCTAACCACCTGCACTATGGGGTTGGATATCTTTCTGCACCTGCCCCTCTGGGGGAGGAGACTGGCAGAAGGAGGCGCCCTGAAGAGTGGGAGGCCTCAGCCACCTCTCCCTTTGCTGACTGGTTCTCCCAGGTTGAAGGGTCCTTCTCCTCTCCCCATGCTCCTGAGGTTGAGAGCACTGGCTTGGGAGCTGGAGAGCCCTGGGGGTATGACTCCTGAGCCCAGTGTGCAACCCATGTGTGCTCTTGGCCAAGCTGCTTCATTTCTCTGCACCTCCATCTCCCCGTCTGTGAATGGTAATCACAATATATACCTATGCAGATGGATACCCAACTCACAGCAAGTGCTCAGTAGGTAGCTATTGTATTAGCGCTCCAGGGTGAGGGCAGTAATATCTGCCAAACGCCCACTGTGTGTCAGGCACCACCAGCCCCGCATGATACTCCCCACTAAGTGCCGTTTGGTGGCAGGGCTGATTAACTCATACATACATCCCAAAAAGTAGGGATTATCATCCTGGTTTTACAGATAAGAAACCAGAAAGTGTGAGCAGTCAAGTGACTTTCTTGTAGAAGGCAGAGCTGGGATTCACACCAGGGCCAGGTAGGTCCTAGATGCTAATGGTTTCACTGCCATTTATGAACAAGTTTGTCTTATCTGCTAATCCACAGCTGGCTCTGAGGGCAGCAATTGTATGTTATTCACTGTCCATCTTTCTTCTGTCCCTAACATTATGCACACTGCTGTGCACACTATTGGCACATAATAAGTGCCTCTTACATAGAAAGAAATAGAGAGGCCCACACACTCCATGGGGGATGAGGGTGGCTTCTTAAAAGCTGGCACCTTCATGGAGGATGAAGAAGGAGGTGTGGATGGCTGCAAAGCCACCCATCCCCCTTTACCTGCGCTCTTTCTGTCCTTCCAGCAGAACTGAGCCCATCCTCTTGTGGATGCTCAGAAATGATCACGGCAGAAAGAAAAGCAACCAGCTCACCCCCAGACCTGTGCTTGTCCCCTGACAAGAACCTTTCAGGTCTCAGATCTGAATGTGAGTTACTCCTTATTCTAAAGAGAAACTGGGTTTCACTCTCTGCCCCTCCCACTAAAGCAGACCTCATGCCGGACAAGTGGATAGATGCTTTGAGGTGAATATTTTCTTTAAAAAAAATTTATAAAAATTTTTCTTTTTGTAGAGATGGAGTCTCATTATGTTGCTTAGGCTAGTCTCAAACTCCTGACCTCAAGTGATCCTCTCACATTTGCCTCCCAAAGTGCTGAGATTATAGGAGTGAGCCACCATGCCTGGCCAAGATGAATATTTTCAAGCACATTTTGTACAATGTCATGCCAAGGAGGGGAAATGGCAGAAGGTCTCTAAAGCTCTTTGGAGGTAGAGGGGAGGGGACAGAACCCTATGCTTTGTCTTCTTTTTCAGGTTATGGCCACATCTACCCCGTCACCAGGCTTGGCAAGTACTTGTGCATGCTGTATGCTCTCTTTGGCATCCCCCTGATGTTCCTGGTCCTCACAGACACAGGGGACATCCTGGCAACCATCTTGTCCACGTCTTACAATCGGTTCCGAAAACTCCCTTTCTTCACCCGTCTCGTCTCCAAACGGTGCTCCTCGTCACTCTGCAGGAGGAAGCCAGCCACCAAGCCTGTGGAGGAAGCCTTCCCCCAGATCATCATTAGTGCTGAGGAGCTCCCGGGCTCCAAACCAGGCAAGTGTGCTTCAGCCCCAGACTGCATTTCGCAAGCGTCTGAGAGCCTTCTGTCATCAGAGAAGCAGAACACGCTGCAACTGCCCCTGCAGGCCATGGAGAGTCACTCGTGTCCTGAGCTAGTGTTGGAAAGACTCTCACACTCCATCATCAGCAACCTGAATGAGGTGGGCCAGCAGGTGGAGAGTCTGGAGGTCCCCCTCTCTGTCATCGCCTTTGTGGTTTTTGCTTACATTTCCTGTGCGGCCGCCCTCCTCCCCCTCTGGGAGAAACAGATGGATTTTGAGAACGCCTTCTATTTCTGCTTTATCACGCTAACCACCATCGGATTTGGGGACACTGTTTTAGAACACCCTAATTTCTTCCTGTTCTTCTCCATTTACATCATCGTTGGAATGGAGATCCTGTGGATTGCTTTCAAGCTGGTGCAAAACAGACTGATTGCCATCTACACAAATCTAATGCTTTTCTTTGCAAAAGGGGAGTTTGACCACCTTGCTAAAAAGTAAAGTGGCGGACACTGGCTGAGCTCTCAAGCGGCAGACACTGGCTGAGCTGGTCTTCTCACCTTGTCTTTTAGGGCCATGTGGCTAGGCCAGGGGTATAGCGGCCTGCCACTTGAATCACATGGATGCTTGGAGACAAATCCTTCATGAGAGTTCAGTTCACTCTTGAGACCCTGCAGAAATCTTGCCAATGCCCTTGGCATCAGAACATTAGCCGGGAGTGGGAGTGGGGAGAAATGCCATCATGCCTCCAAAGTCCAATTAGTTTCCCTGTCCTCGTTTTTTTTTTTTTTTTTTTTTT